GAGGCGTCTGGGTTCGGAAGTGGCGTCGCCTCTAATTTGGCAACGGTCAAGGGCGGACACGTATGTCGCATACTGAAGATAAGAACATGCGGGGGCTGGCGCGAGGCGTCTGGGTTCGGAAGTGGCGTCGCCTCTCATTTGGTAGCTGTTAAGGGTGGACATATGACATGTTGCACACAGAAGATAAGAACATGCGGGGGCTGGCGCGAGGCGTCTGGGTGCGGAAGTGGCGTCACCTCTCATTCGCCAGCTGCCAAGGACGGGTATATGACATGGCGCACACATGAGACGAGAATATACGGGGGCTGGCGCGAGGCGTCTGGGTGCGGAAGTGGCGTCGTCTCCGATTGGCCAGCTCTCATGGGTGAGGGCCGAGCGCTGTGGCAGCATGCTGTGAAAGCGAGGCCTGACCCAAGCTGCTGCCGTTTCCACTATCCATGACGCTTTGATTCATGCAAAGGGCACAAGTGTAACGCGGCGTCGCGCCGCGAGCGCATTGGCTACAACATCTTCAAAGCGAGGGTTGCAAGTAGCGAGGGACTTGCTGGTAGAGTCCTCGTCTACAGGGTTCGTGAGATACAGGGTTCGTGAGCGCAGACGCAGTGGCGGTGATGGCGATGGATAGCACCTATGCACGTCTTCTAGAAGTAGAAATCTATTTGGTGGTCGTCGCACGCGTCCTGCACCACGAATGGAGATGGCTGCCGTGCAGCTGAGGGCGGCGGGAGGAGAGCATCTTCTTCGTCCGCAAGTTGGTGGTCGTGGTGGTCGTAGTGGAAAGCACATCTGCGGCTATTCCTTGAGAACGATGCGTACCGAGCATCGCGCAGGCTCTACCGTCGTTCGCTAGGAGGGAGGAAGGAAGGAAGGAAGGAAGGAAGGAAGAAGAAATCTTGATGCTGTACTGATGTTGAACAGCGATTGGGACCAAGGAGACAAGACTGAGAACCACTGAACAATCTCGTTGTGGACGACAGCGTGCCTTCGGGATACCCGAATAGTTGGCGGTGGTTTAGTCTTCCTGAAAAAGCCGCCTTCACAAACTCCATCGTCCTCGGAAGTGCCCTCTAACATCATAAGCCGGTCATTCGCCAGGTTGCTGGCCGCGGTACGGATCGCCTGTGCAATGTCCATCGCGTCGCGGAAAGCGCCGATGGCCTCTTTGCAGCCATCTAGGTCGTTGAGCAACGGAAACTGTCTAAGGCAACGCGTCACGGTGCGCCCTCCCTTTTCATGGTGCGTAGAGTAGATGTAGATCGACTTAGCAATGACTTTAACGTTGTTTCGGTCAGATGCGACAGGAAACCCGGAGTTGAGATATGACTCGAGGGAACGGTGGGCGCAAAGGATCGATCATCGTTTCTGGTGGACGGGCTGGATGTATCTGTCAATGGCGTCCCTGACCTCCTTGCTGATCTCTGAGGCGGTCGCGCCAACGCAGTAGTCCGGCTTGGCGGCCGTCAATGCATCCGCAGCTCGCGTTAGAGGGGCCAGGTTGTTGAACACGAAGTCCGTGTCATAGCGTGCGCTGACCTCTGGGGCGAGGAGCGCATAGAGGCCCGAGGCTATTGTCTTCGTCTCTCCCATGCTGCAGAGGGCCTTCAAGCGATGCAGTGTATCCTTGGTGACATGTTCTAGGTCGGTGAGGGGTTGTTTGAGCTTGGTGATGATGGCGTCGGCATCAGCGGCGTCTTCAAGTTCTGTTTCACCATCGTATATGTCCGCAGGGAAGAAGATATGAAAAGCCCGCAGCTTGGCCTCGAAGTTTGCGTCGTATGGAGAGGATTTCTCAGTTACACTCTCTTTCTTCGTCTTAGGAGGCATGTCGTCAGAGGCCTAGACATCCTCAGCGTTTGCTCCTGATCCAGGTAGACTATCTGTGCATACCGACGTAAGCTTCTGATAGCTGGGCGCGGTTTGCTCTTCTGCTGTTTCTTGGACCGTAGCTGCTGACACCGTTCGGGTTGGTGGGCCGGTATTGGGGGAGGATTTGGTTTCTGCGTGTATTCGTTGGTCGTGCTCCCAGAGCTGGCGGTCGTGTTCACGCAAAGCGTCTGTTGTGAGATGGGGGAGGGCGATATTTTCGTAGAACCTTGGACCATGTAACGAAGCCGGTGGAGGCTCCGAGGGCTCGAAAGACAGAAGGCCAGGTTGAAGAGAGGGATGTATCGACTGCCAGCTGAAGTCTTCCAACGGGTGGGGCTCTTCGCGCTCAGGCGACTGAGCGCGATTGAGCGCGCAATCGCTCGCCATGTTAGAGCCGGCGGGGGTGAGAGAAGCGACGCAAGTAATAAAAGTTGCAGCGGACGTCGAAAGGGCAGGCGAGGCAGCAGCCATCCGGAGCGCGGCCATCGTGCTCTGGGGTCGGTAGAAGTAGCCGGGGCGGTGCTGTAGCGTGGGCGGTGCTTCGGGGTCAGTTGCGCTCTTGTTCCAAGCATGGACGTGGAAGGGCCGGTGTGGAAGGTACACGCACAGACCATTCGGTCATCTGTACCTCCCGATTGGCTGCTCCGTCTCTGAGTGGTCGTAAACGTGGCCAACCTGGTGTGTTGTCGAGGTTGGGTCCGGACATTTGCGCTGATCCGCGACGCTGCAGTGTGGTCACTCTTTATCAAAAACACCGACTACACCCAGACTTCTCGCGAGCGCCATGTTTGCCTTGGCAGTGCCACGGCAACGCAGCAGCGTCGGATTGGATCGCAATTGTCCCCCGGTAACCAAGCGTGCCGCGCCCATTGAACCTCTGCAGCCGCAAGTTTGGAGGAAGCGAAGAGCCAATGCGACATCACGGATTTCCGGCGCGGAACCTCCAATTGGTGTCCGCCAGCAACCAGGCGCCAGCACATTGCGGTACGGAGCGTAGCGTCTCGTGCCGTTTCTCCGGAGCGGTCCGCACAAAGTCACAATGGCGCAAGCCCAGCGCAGCCGGAACGACAACGAAGAGAGGCTGAGGTTGACCTTGGTACGTGCGGGCGCTGTGCATTACCTCCACTATGATCACATCACCGCCTGTGCAAGACTCTTCCTGCAATCTAAACGCAAGAACGCTGTCAAAGCGTGAGATTGAAATGTGCATCTGAATGGAGTCCAGAGATGTGGAGTGGGTTTGTGGTATTCGTGGAGTTGGGTGTCGCCAGAGCTGGAACCGCTGTCGGTGGCATCCTCCCTCGGCTTCATTCCTTGCCCCGACTGGCAACGCTGCCATCATCAACAATATGCGCTGGCCTTTTCGTTGCGCAACTGCAGGATCCCAGTGGCCAGAGCGCCCGCGCGGCATCAGGTTGACTAGCCACATATCGCGATGCTGTACTTTGCACGGCTTAGTCGAAGCTCGTGATCGCGATTGCGCGGCGAGTCATTCGGAGCCCCGAGGCATCGAAGACAGGCCGGAGACGCTCGTGCACAGCAGTGCAGACGGCTCGCCAGCCCAGCGACTGGAGATTTTGCCCGTTGTCATTGTCCGGGTGCATCGACGTACTCTTCAACATGTAGCCCCAGACCTCGAAATCCCGGTGCGAGCCAGCGCATCACTCGCCTCGCCTGGCACCCGAGCCCACGCAAATTCCTATCATCTCGCCAATCTACACGTACGGCAAGGGTCATGCGAGGGAAGGAAACGCCAGTCCGTGTGCCGAGAGAAGATATTGGCGCGGGCGCAGAGGCAAGAACGAAGTGGGTGGCGCGAGCGAGGACAGTAGCAGCGTCTCCACGGGCTCAGCGCAAAGCGTGCACGAAAGGGATGTGGCGAAGATACCGCGCACACGCCGTGGAGCCGCGAGACGCTTGTTGCGCCACCGGGCGGGAATTTGGCAGTGGCATGTGAGCGGGTGAGTCTAGCGGCAGCGCCAGATGCAGGCGATCGTGCCGCGCGGAGGGTTGGGTTAGGGTTGTGCGGGGGGCGTGTCGCGCGCGGGTCCTTAGCCCCTGGGTCCTCCACGTGCCGAGGGCTGGCGCCGCACGTGTCCCAACTCTGGAGGATCCACATCACAAAGGGCTGCCCGGTAGGCGTCAGAGGCTGGGCCGATGGCACAATGCAATAGAATCGAAAATGTCCGATCCAAGTGTCACGTGGCCGTTTTGGTACTTCTTAGTGCGGGCGTTCAATGTTCTGTATGCGACAAAGCGCGCAGCCATCATGATACCGCCGATGGACACTGCCTCTGTCCTCGCCACCACCTCGTCCATGTCACTTCTGCTTTCCCCAGTGGCCTGGTCTCGCTCGCACGCCTTCCCTCTATGCCCTTCTCTCCAGTCCTCGCGTTTTTCCCACAGTACAAATACCATCTACGTGGAGGTTGAGTCGAACAAGTGTCCACATAGGCTGCTGTATGGCTCGTGTGTATTGGGGGCCCTTCCTGCGGAGCAGGCCTGTCGCCTTTCGGTGAATGCTCCGCTTGTCCACCGTACTGACCGCAAGGCATGCTTAGCGTCTGTTCGATTAGCGCAAGCGTCGCTCCGATGTCATGGTCGTCCTCTTTGGAGGCTAACCTGGGTAGTAAAAGGTGCGCGTAGGATAATCGCCGCCCTCGGGTGGGCCCTTTGCCTCTTTGGGCATTCTTAAGGACCGTCTCTTTTTGTTCTGCTTATGGGGCAATGGAGGCGTAGGGTTGTGGCCTGCATGTTGCGTCGATAACTCGTAGTCGCTCGGGGACTGCTCTTGCATCTGATGATAGGGGACTCGACATGGAGCGAGACAAGATGGATTCGCGCAACACGTTGCCATCGCTGGCTGCCCGCACAACACAGATTATGCGAACACCTGGTGCTGGGAGTGGTCCCAGCTCTACACTCTTTGACTGCATTCAATGGATTTGCTGTTCCGTGCCATGGTTCTAAAGGATATCTCGAGCGTCGACGACAAGTAGAAAGAAGAACACTATCAGTCCTACCGTCTAGTTCACTTCCAGGAGCCTTACAGTCGACCCGTTCACCACAAGAGCTAGTTAGGTAGGGTATCATGCAGGTGCACGTTAGGGTGATTAACCTTATCATTTACACCATGGAGCAGACAATCAGAAATCAATAGCTAATGTGAATATAGAATACGCGGGACATTTATGGCATCTACTTTTCCCAGCCCAGCTCTCCACCTCCCAGCAAACCCGCACTACATCACATGCAGGCGATACTAACAGAGTGTTTCTATGATGGATCTATCTGAACAGCTCATTGCCACGGTTTTATCATATTAAGCCCATAATAAAATGTCGGGATCGCAAAGTACATGCCAAAACCTCACTGAATTCTCAGAGACGCCTATTTCATTCTGCAAGCATCCTTTCCGTTCGTCCGCGCCATCCTAAGCTATTCTAGCCATCTCATCCGTGCACCAAGAACTAGCTTCACAGGTAGCAAACGCGTATGAAGCGGGCCCAAAATCCGCAAGGCACCCAGTCCTCCTCAGCTTCGCCCAATGGATCAACTCCGGGAGGAGCACGAGGGCCGGACGGGGCACGAGGTGACTCCCAGAGGATCGCTTCGTGCTTGTCTGTCTGAGTGGTCTGGTTTTGCTCAGTGTTGTGCCCGCCTAGAGTGTACTGCTCGTTTTGAGCAGAAGGACCCCCTGCTGCCATCGGGCTTTTCTGGGCCTGTTTCTCGAGGCTTGAGCGACGATGGGCATTCGCGATAGTACGCCGTTCTTCTCGTTTGCGCAGGTCCATTACTTTGGCAGATCGTCTCGCTGCCTCGCGTTCGAGTTGTTTCACGGCGGGATCGTTCGTCTCCATGTTTGCAGTTCGATGAATGAGACTCGAGCTCTCCCTATCTCTGGTGATGCTAGTGCGGCTATGATTTCCCCCCTTCTTTTGTAGATCGTCTATTCTGGTCCGCAATGTCGCTTCATCGCGCGTAAGCGCTTCAATAGAGCCCTTGTACGCCCCGAGCTTTTCAACGTCATGCTGGGACTGCTGTAGTGCCAGGTCGTGGACCCTATTGAAAGAGCCAGGAGAAGACATTACTCCAGATGTTATAAATCCAAACGCCGTTAAGGTGCTAAGGATCTGGTGCTTGAGGTGTGCGAGCAGCTGTACTCCTTCTGAGGTGGGTGTCAAACCTTTTATATCCACAAAGTTGCTGCTGGGCCGCTTGGAAACATCCCATGAATATAAACAAATGGTTTGCTGTCTACACATCATGGAAGCTTTGTGAAACAATACCGCGTGCTTGCAAACCTTGCATCGATTTCTGTTCCCGCAGCTCAGGCCCTGCGCCACTCACCAGGAGAAGGGAGAAGGATTAGTTGGCAAACGCTGAATACTTTCGGCAGGATCTGGTAAACTTCATCTAGATTCCTTCAAAATGGCCTGTTGACCACCTGCCCTATCACGAGATCCTGCACAACATCACGAACTGCGGTATTGAAGTCAGTGATATTTCGTAGGTCACGATACCATGGTATCAGTGCAATAAAGGAGGACAATTTGCGAGGCTCTTGAGCTGGGTCTTCATCGCGACGTAAGGAGGTAGGTCCTGAATACCAGACCTTCGACGACACACAGCAAGGATGGAACTCGCGCCACCCCTGCATCAGGCGCTACACTCACCAAGCCGCCGAAATTTGCGAGTACATCTTAGTCGCAAAGCCGCATTCGTGCAACCTCATTAGTATGAATCCCAGCGTATAGAGCAAGCCGCGCGGGTTAGGCATCCACGAACACCTAGAGTCCTCAAGCCAGGCGCCTGCAGTCGCATGGCCCAATCTCCTCCTGCAGCGACACATCCCGCATGGCGTCTTGACAAGATATGCCCGCTTCGCACCCATGCAGCATGAAACTCAAGAGATCCAAATTTGATGCCACGACACTTTGGGGTGTACGGAACCGCGCTCCCCTCCCCGTTTGTACCGTACCATGCTATGAATTTAGCGAATCAGAACAACACACCCACGGCCGCGCCGCGACACAAACTCTCGCTACCTTTCCCGCGATCGCACAGCGAAGCCCCGAACGGCTGACCGAGCTGAGCGAGCCGGATCCTGACCCCGAATCTCCACCGCGCCGAACCTTGCCTCACCGACCTGAGCCGAATCGCGCTGCCGGCTATACATGCTCCAACCGAGTCCCAGGTCGCCGGTAGACACTCAATCCCACACCGACCCTACCTCTTCCCCCCCCACCAGCGTCCACACACCCGCAGCCACCCCTCACCGTGCTCATCTCCGACACCGAACCCCGCTTTTTTCCTTCCGCTTCCATAGCAATGAAATCCCTCTGAACACTCTGCTTGCCGTTGGCGGTACCGCTCCCTCCCACGTCCCTCCTCGCCAGCCTCGCTGTCCGCCTGCAGTATTGCGTGTGGCTTGGAATGGTCTGGTAAGGTGGGGTTTGCCATTTCCCCTCCAGGTCGATGCGCTATGTGTTCCGGAATGGAAGGAATGTAAACACAACATAGAAAAGTCAAGACGTATGGAGCTTGGCGGAGGGCGGGGATACAGTGTGACGTGACCTGGCCTGGCGCGGGGTAAGCTCCTCGCAAGAGCAGACTTCGTCATCGTCACCGTGCAGGCGCCGCCGGAAGATGGAGGTATGAAGCCACAATTCAGCCCAATCCAACGTGTAAAGGAACTTCACATCTGCCGTGCGACAACGAAGCTGGAACCAAAACCACAATCTACTTGCAGATAAGTATATTCTGCCTATCAGAAGTCTAGGCCCGGCGCGCCACGGATCTGACCTGCTTCGTCTCCCTCCCCCTCGCCTTCCTGCGCGCAACGCGCCCGTTCTTGCCCCGCTGATTAACTCTTCCCGTCTCCCCCTTCCTGCGCTCAGGAAGCTTCTCCTCCACAGTGCCACTGCGCCTCGTCCTTGGCCTGCCCTTGAACGGACTCCCAGGCGGTGCAGGCGGAGAGGGCCAGTGCATGCCGTCCCACGCGAGGAGGCCCTGCAACTCTGGCGCCCAGTTTTGGCTTTGTCCGCCGCGCGCGATGCCCATCGCGAAGGAACCGGAATCACGCTTGTAGAGCAGCTCGGGCAGAAGCCTCTCGGTGGGCACGACGTCGCCGCGCGGCAGGAACGAAGGGCGTTTGAGCTTGGCTGCGCAGCCTCGCTGGACGGGTACCTGCGTCGCGGTGTCGTACGTGCGCGCGGCCCTGCTGACGCGTGCAGATCCAGCGACGCGGTGGAGGGGGGAGCTGGAGATGCATAGGCTGGAGGGAAGGCGTGGCTCAAGTGGGCGGAGCTCGGAGGGTGGCAGGCGGAGGCTGGACGGGATCACGTAGAAATCGTCTGGGACTGGCGTCGCTTCCGCGCGACGGGGATACAGAAAGCGGCCAAACTCGGGCGAGGGCACTTGATTGCTTTCCGAGTCGCTGGCAAAAGGTGGCTGGTGGATATGACCGGTACGTAGCTGTGGCATGTTGCCGATGGAGTAGCTGCGCGAGGCGGGCACCGGGTTCTGGATGGACGGGTTGATGGAGAGGCGCGATGGCGCGTCAGCGACTGCGCGGAGGAGTGACGGTGATGAGGTGGGCTGAGAAGGGTCTCGGAGTACAGCAGGATGTGAAGAAGATGTGCAAATCAACGTTGCGCGAGCCTACTGCTGCTGAAGAAGAAAAGAGGGATTTGGAGCGGCGACGCAGTTTTGTGGTAATCATGGCGAAGGGGAAGTCGCGACACCACGGCGTTGCGCCTAGCACGGCGGCATTGGGCGGCCATTGTGGGAAGGAAAACCACAATATCGAGCAGGTAAGAGGAAAAAGTAGTAACAACGGTTCTCTAGGCAATTCGTAATCACGGCCGACATCGGTATGTGCATACTTGAACATACCTGGGAGTTCGAGAGGGCGCTGGCAAAGGAACGCACAACAACACTGCGGCAACACGACGACACGATACCACGAGACCGCCAGGATCTGATGCAAATTCGCCGAGATAGACTCACCTTAGCATTTCTTTATGGCTGGTGACGATTTCCTAATCGCGCACGGTTCGAGTTCCCTAACTCCTACCCTTACTATCGAGTTGCTTATACGTACTGTGTCCCAGCCCTGCCATCTAGAATCCCATCTTGCCCTGTGGCACTGTAGTGGAATATGCTGTAAACTCTCTTTACGCTATTGAAAGCTGCATACCCTACTAGGTCTTCTCCTCCATACTGCTGATAGCGCGACATCCTCCTACAGTACACTGTAGACGGCACGACTCCCCTTCGCCCATATATACGCTGCCACCAGCAGTCACGTCGCCCATTAATATGGATCCGCTTGCTAACCCTGTGCTTGGCGATGCATCAAGCGACTGCGGATACGCTCGATTACGATGGATACAGCTTATTAGGGAGGGTCCATCCAGACGACAAGGCATACGCTGGCTGCAGATGTTCCAATCATTCGGTCTGGATGAAAATTCTCTATTACGATCTAGTCTTATGTTCGTTATTTCATTTTCTCTGCTCCTTTCCATGCCTTGACTACTAGACTTTACAGGCTCCTACGGCCAAAGATCTACCCGCAATTCCCTCCGCGCCAACGCTATAAGTAAGGAGTGTACAACAACTACTGTTCGTCCTCACACGTCTCCTTTTTTTTTTTTTTTTTTTTTTCCCACCAGCAAACACGCATTCCACGCCATATATCCCCATCCGCTTAAGCGCATCGCCGTTTTGCTCATACCAGCACATATTGTCCTTGCACCTTCGCTTTGCTATTCCCACTATGTATACATCAATATCTTCGGGATTCTATAAAGACGCCATTAGCTGCAACACAGAAGACCAACAACCGCGCCTATCACTCTATCTTAATCGTCCAGGTATTGGAAAGCCAGCTTGCCACTGGCGCGAGTCGCGCGCTTGTAGCTCAAGATTTAGGTCGTTTTCAAGCACTTGGATATTGGGGATAGCCAGGCTATCCAACCTGCTACGCGAGTTTCCGAAGTCCTTGGCTTTCCCAGCACTGGATCTATGGCAATGGCGAGATTGATGGTGGACGCGCATGGCTGGTTCTGCAAGATTACTTACTACAGTGCGTCATGTTGACTGCTAGTAAATAATCAGGGACTCTTTCGATCGGAGGACAACAGAGAGAGTTCATGCAATCGCTATTTAGAACGCATGTATTCACTTGAACTAGTGCGAGCTGGCTCAGCGCACACATGCACTCGAGTGGATATATTAGCAGCTCCTGGTATCTGATACTACCTTTGAAGCCGTTTGTCTTAGATTCGCCAAGGAGCACACAGAGACTTATGTGGCGACACCACCAGCAACGCTAGGTAGTGCATTCCTGCAGTATATGACAGTGTTAGATCGTGTTAGAAAGAAACACCCCGGAACTGAGACAGAACGGTCTTGAAATGTTAAACAGTTTACTTACTTGACTTGCATCTAGCATAACAGAGAGTGAGGATGCATGGTTTCAAGGACAGGTCTGCACTAATCATCGTCACCTCAGGCTTGAATTGCAAGGTGAGCTGAGCCGTGCCAGCGCGACCTCGGGTTTTGCGGCGGAACTCTGATGACGTCGTCGGGCAAGTTGTCACTATCATATACCTAGCTAACTGCAAAACCAGAAAGCATTCTTGGTGAGTATCTTGGCAACCCATTCACTCAGGATCCCACCAATACTGAAATTGGCGCCTTCGATTGCACCCTTTGAGCTCACGATCCAGCTCGATAGGGAAAAAGCACGACTGGCTGCGAGAGCCTGGGGAAGGCAAAAAAGCTTGGCCGAGGACCATGGCGACCATTGGTCTCGGGCAGCGAAGATTTTGGGCTCTGGGTCTCTCTAACGCTACTGGTGTGGCCACAAGATTCTACCCAAGGACATCCCAGATCTATAATAAAGGGTTCAAGCTGTGTCCGACATTCGAGGCTGTCCACGATGAAGAGCATGGGTACCAGGACTACCAGATTCGGTGAGTGTGCCGGTCCGAAACATCAACACCAGCGCCTCAGACTCGCTATTCGCTTATCTAAGATCCACGGGGCCTCAACCCCAAGGGAAGACTGTGTCCCAGCACTCCTACTTGAGATGAGGGCAATCTCCGCACTACCATCGGCTCACAGGAGGCAAGGGCGGTATGGATCACGGCTTCCCTCATTGTTTTCCTACAGAAGATTACGCGCCGCTGCACAGCTATGAACCAATTTAACACACGCATGTTCCCCCGCCACGTAGTACACCAACGATCTCGCAGTTTCCGTTCGCAATGAAGAAAAGAGCGATCCCAAGACAACGACCGCGAGCAAATTAGCAAGGCCCGATCAGTCTCGTCTGGCGACCATAGGTATCCAAGATCAGTGTCTCGCTGTCTTCAACCCCCCCAGAAAGTTGACACCAACTTTTGTCTGTACGAAGGGGTCTTGTGTCAGCACGCGAGCATATGAAGTTTATAGCAAACTCGCCTACCGGCTGAGATTGGAACCCTTTCCGATAGATTCCAGGGAGCTGGTAACTACAGCGGTTGCCCAGTTACACCATTCATGTTATAACTCTTAGCGTATTTGAGCCTTCACACCTTCGTCACATGGATTGCTTAACAGTAGGATGAAACCAGAGGAACGTAGCCTCTGGCGATCGTTACCCATAAGAACGCCACGCGCACACATCGTCACATACAGTCTCACCAGAAGTGATTACACGCATATGTTCGTGCGCGCTAACACGCGATAACAGCACCATGTTTGTTTCATACAGGCGACAGGCAACAGGCAATAGGATAAAGTAGTGAGTCCCTGCATGCAGCCTAAAGCCATTTACAAGCTACACTTCCAGCCATCATCGCACGGCATTTGTACCCAGGAGCCAAAGTCGTAGGTGCCACGGCCCCTGCAGTCGAGCGCGCAGTAAAGTATCTATAGTGCCTCCCTATATTATATATATATATATATATATATATACATTCGTAATGCAATGCTTACCGAGACGCATAGTACACATTGGGGTTCCAAGTTTGTAGCAGTATTTAAGATGTGACTTCGTGTCACGGAAGAAGTCCACAAGCCCAGAGATAGCCTGAGATTACATGACAATTAATGTTTCCAAGCACCACATTACACAAAGAAATCGTTTTCTCAGTACCCTACAGAACATGCACTAGCTACATCAGTGGCGGAATGAGTCGCCCCAATCGCGGCGCTCATTCGCGAGCGAGCAACGAGTATTTCGAGCACGCCGAGTGCAACGAGCAGGTGGGGCGCATGGAGACCTCCGCATCACAAGGGTAGCTGTGGCAGGCGTCCTTATGCAGTCGGTGTGATTGGGACCCACTCATAGAAACATGGCGCTCGCTGCGCATGTCGCATCTTGAGGATGGAGCAGTTGAAGCGCTGAATCACCCTCGGGTTGCTTATGAGGAAGCAGAGACTGAGTTCCTCTCCACCCGCTGCGACCCAGACTCTTCCAAGTTTAGCCTCTTGAGGGAGAAGAGCAGCTTGGCAAAGCTGGATCTTGACAGAGCGAGGGATCACGCCCTGGAACACCTCATACGTCCGCCTGGGACGGTGGGTGGGTACCCTGATAACACGTTCCGCGATGCTGTGCCCTGGGCGTTTCTTGAGACGGTGGACTTGTCTGGCTTCGAGGTGGGCAGAGGCGCTTCATCTGGTCTGTACGAGGCCACGGACGGGAAGTGGCGAGCGAGTCATATGTCATCCCGTCCTTAAGACGCGTAACAGAGGCAACGTCTGGTGTGTAGTCAGCTGATGGATACTATAGCTGTTCGTTGCGCTTGACCTCTTCAAACGTGAGCTGCGATCGACATACTAAACGTGTGTATAATCGTGAACCTGTGACCGTCCGGAACGACTATTGACCTTCACCTGTCAACCTGTGGTCCTCTATATTAGCACTCTCGATGCAAGAAAGTATGGAGAAATGGGCCGAAACAGCACTATGGAGGGACTCTACGATCCCCATATAGCATGAGCTACTGTGAGGCTATTCCATCTCTTCATCATTTACAATCTTACTACTAGAGCCCCATGGTATTGTCCTGCAGTGCAAAGTTTGTTTCATCAAAACCATCAGGTCTAATCTACGAAGCGTCGCATCCCACGAATCCTGCTTTAACTGACTGCTGCTTGAGACAAACAGGAGCTACAGATAGAGAATCGTTCTCCCAGCCATCCCATAGCCTTTTCCACTTTTGCCCCTTCTCCCTTCCCATCGAAGCTGCCACTTGTCGTCTACAAGCGGTCACCTGTGTGCCTAATCTACAAGGAAGCCCTAGGCACCATGCCGTTTAGCGCCGAGATTTCAAAGCCCTCCGCTGCATCTGTAGCGTCCCGTTCCAATAGAGCGTCCTAGTATAGTTGCTTCCATAATCTATCTTCAAGAGCCGCACGCATCATCTTGCCACCAGAGTCGATCACAGTAACGGACCTAGGAAACGATGTGGATTAGTGCATCTCGCGGGTGATCATTGTAAGAAATCTATGGTGGTTCTCGATGGTTTCGCAGTTAGTACCAAATTCGCGGTAGGGAAGGGTGGCGAAGATAACGCCGCCACGTTCATGTCAATTAGGCAGCCTTTGAGGCTCGACTACCCACTGAACGATGATGCTGGTGGGCCCAGCAGCTTGTTCACGACTTTGGAAAAGAGCCTCCATGGCCGACCAAAGGCGTCGCGATCAGTGAAGTTTTGGGGGATATACGGCCAGGCCATTATTTTGAGGAAGTGTCTTGCTATTGTCTGCGCAACTTTGGTAAGAGATATATCTTTGGTCTTGAACAGGGTGCATACGCCGTTAATTGAGGCAAAATTAGAAACTGGGCGCATAGCTTCCGCTCGCTGGAGTAGGAAATTGGTCTACTCCATAACGGAATCCTTGACTGGCGTTTCAGGACCTAGTGCAACAATAAGGGCAGCCATATCCAAGATAGAAAGCCACTGCCCTCTCCTAACGTTTCTTGGGGCGATGCGGCGATGAGATGCCACGCTAGGCTCGCGGGCGTAATCCGCGGCTGGGTACGTACGACTGGTAGGAGAGAGGGGCGTGGGAATGAAGAGGAAACGATTCTGAAATTCTAGTACCTCGTGGGCTGAAGAACCACGACGATGTAATGGAAAGACTAAATCAATCCCTTTGCTTCCAACTTACACTTCATAGGCTCCATCTCCAAGGGCATTAAAGTACAATCTTATACATATAGTAGAGCTCTTCACCCACCGCCGATTCAATTCACTTGATAGCGAAGAGAAACCTTTAAACCGCCATGTACTTATTACTAGCTCTCTAGCTTCGCGCCCATTATCTACACTAGATATAACATTCACTCTGAGTCTATTCCTTCCGCAGCTTTAGCCCTCTCCTATTCGCTAAACTCGTTTTTGCTTCCACTTCTCTGCTTCGCGGCGCTCTTGATTATAGCCCCTATTCCTAGGGCGAATCTTCCCGCCCCTAGTAAGGGCAACCTGGTTCGCAATTTAGGTCTGGGTTCTTCTCGCGCTAATAGTAGTGTTGCGCGTGACTTTCCCCTAGGACGTTCTCTTTGTGGTGCCGCTCACAGTCACAAATAACCTTCACCACCATCGCCACCCTACGAAGTCTCGTGTCGAGTTTCCTCCTCCTCCATCTCCAGGATTTGAAGTGCTGTTCCTTGTTTTACGGCTTCTCGCGATGCCCAAGAATCCGCGCACCCCTTCGCTCTGTCTTCTCGTATGGCGTGGGTTTGCTCCTGATGTGCTGCTGATCTGCGGGCAGGCGACGGTCATGGAAGTGCAACTGATACCATTCCGCGCGAAGCTTCATGCACCACACAAGTGGGCCCTCTGTGGCTCGCCTTGCAGCCTCCTCGAGTGCTTGGAAGCGGGGAAAGTTGTGGTACTCCACCCTGGAGCGAACTTCGTAGACGCCATACTCGCCATCGTCAGGCTCTGCCAAGTCGTCCTAGCCTTCAGGTGACAGCATCTTGTCATCATCGCTATGTTGTTTGCAGACGCGCCGGGCCAAACGCAATGTGCCCCGGCATGCGTCTAGTAAGGCGGGTGTATGTCGTAATGACCGGAGAGACGGGGTAGAGCGCAAGGTTAAGATCACGTCACATCTAGGATGGTGGTATGGTTATTCCCATGTAAGGTATACGCTAGTTCAAGGTTGGCGGCGTAGTGTCCTTCGTCTGTCTAGCCTGTTACCTCCCTGGTCTCCACTGCTCGCCTAGCACGGCAATCTCTGTGGTCTTCTCAACCTGTGGCACCAGACTGGCGCCCTAGGAATGTATGTTTCACTGTAGTGAGTGGGGGGCTGCGTATAGTGCGTGGTGGACTCTCTCCTGGCATGCCAATTGTTGTGTCCAGAATGCAGATGCGCTTTTGATTAATTGATAGGACTTGGAGTAAGTGGCATCTTGTCTACTTCGCTTTGCATCTGCCTATGTTGACACTTACCACCGTACTTACCAGTGATTGATGAGTGGTGAGACCGACCCGGCGGAATGGGTCAAGCCAGCTGCAAGGGTGCGGATGTCAAGAGCACATACCTTATTGTATATGGAATGTGACGTCTCTGTCCGCAGTACTTTACGTAATCTATGCGACGACGGAATTTCGCTCATTCAGATATCACCAAGCGTGAAGCCATCGAGTTGGATACCTAGGATACCATTGTAACGAACCGAAAATGAAGCGCTGTGGACGAAACGTCCAGATTGGCACCTCAGCGCACGAGGGAACAAGTAGCTAACCGAAGCCAACACCACCAGTCCCAGCCCCAAAGGTGTACCGACACCAAGCTGCCAGTATCGCCACCCAAAATTCCAAAATCAACGGTATCATTCATTCGCACTTCTGTTAATCGCGCTGATTCGCTATATCAGATTGAGTGGGTGTCGGAGAAGCGAGGCGATAGCTACTTGCCGTCAGTACTTGGTCTGGAATGGAATCGACGGCGCCCTCGCGTGCCTCTTTGGTCCCTCAACACCAACAACACCCGTTACTACATTCTCCGTCTTCTCAGAAGCCGATCGCATTCTACGCAAAGCTCCTGGCGAGCTGCACCTGATACCTTCACCTCTTCTAGAGGCGGATCCCAAAACCAGTCGCACCCGGGCGGCACGCCCGCTGCCTCACAAACTTTGAGCTGCGGAGTGGATTTGTGGCCGCATACGGCACGATGCCAAACGAATCGGCACATGGCGCGTGATTCAAGAGGGGAAGGGCGTGTGATTGAAGAGAGAAAGGGCGCGTGGTTCAAGAGGGAAAGGGCGAGATTCTCCCACTGGCCGTTGGTATACAATCTGGAAATCCTGGGGGATCCGTGGCCTCTTTATGCTGCGAAAATCCATGTCCAGTGAGCAGCTGGCGACGCCATCGTACGCCTGGCCTGCTCTGAAGGACGAAATTCCAGGGTTGATGCGTCTGATCTACCGATTGCCAGATTGCGGCCCAATAATTGTTCGTATCGCGAGCGTTCGGTCCGCGGGGAGGGCCAGCATCGGCTTCGGCAGCGTGCGGGTGGGAAGTAGAGGGTGCCGAAAGTTGGATCAACCCGGTCGTGACCCCCACGGCCGAGGAATGTCGCGACAGGCGCTCAGCGAGGGAGGGATTTGGGAGTGAGAGGATATGCTGCGAGGCGAAGACTGAACCAGCCAGCGACATGTGGGCAATGAGCATGCGTTCAGACACTGTCTTTTCCAGCCTGCGGGCTCGTAATCGGCGTACTGAACAATACGGCCGTCGGCAACTCGTGATGGTGCGGAGGCGGATGCTCAAGCGGGAGGAATGGGACACCGGCTTGGCGAGCGATGCGTGGGAGGGGTGGAGAGCAGGAATGATGCAACAAACGCGTTGAGGCAAGGCCGTACAACAATGGACACAGCCACCAGATCTCGATACGGGTCTTTGCATGCCGCCAGATCTCGATACGGGTCCTTGCATGCCGCACCCCATTAACGCCAGCCACCGCGCCTCCGTCTTGGCCTATTGCGGACACCGTTGCTCCACGCGTACAACCTTCGCGTTTCAAGCAACCCGCCACATGGGTCGTGTCGTCCTAGCGAAGAATGTGAGGTCAAATTCCTCTGCGCAGCAGCCTCCGCGTGACGTCGGAACCAGGCTCAGAAGTTCGTCGTTGAATCACCCCCACGGGCTTATCTTCTTCTCACTGTTTCCAACACGGACCCAAAGGTGTCCCTTGGAATGCTGGTCCTGGTGGTGTCGCTGGTGGTAGCACAACTTGCCCTACTTGCGGCCAGGCCCACCAAGAATGATGCTGGCTTCCCAACAGGTGTCACCAATATTCCATGTCGCCCCTATCGTGAGCCCCTTGCGCACGGCTGCGATTTCTAGAGCGGGCAAAGGTCATCGCGCCAACCGCAATTCCCGGGGCGTCGCGTTCTTCGCTCGCATTCGAGCGGCTGATTGCGGGAGGTCTCGTGCGATTGATGTTTTGCATCGTGGGGGTGAGCGGGAAACTTGCGACGCAGCGGAAGTACAGGGCGGGGCGGGGCGGGCGCGGGGCGGGGGCGCGGGCGCGGGCGCGGGCTGAGGCCGCAAGGGGGAAACGATAGTCTAGCGGCCAACGCCGGACGAGACCTAGAGCTATGTCACTCACCCCTTGTGTGCACACACACTGGCTAATCGATTGGCACCTGAAAGTGCGACAATTGCATGTGCAAGGTATGGCTGCATTCCTCTGGATGGCACACAGGCTAGTGGACGCTGCCAAGCCTGTGGCTAGCGGAATGGCTCAGAGTTGTTGTGCGCCAAGCGCGGATAAGAGAGAATGCGAGTTCCAGTCGCTTTGGAATGGGTCGGACCACAGTTCCCAACGCGTGGGGAAGGACCTAGCCGGCTAGCTGGCTCGATTCTTTGGTTGACAAAGCGCTTCCTGTGCTGAGATAAGAAGAGTATAAGAGACACGTGAGCTTTGGAGGTCCTTGGCTTGACCTTGGTGGTGTTTGGCCGCTGAGATGTCGGAGAGAAAAATTCCATGAGTTCTCGAAACGTGGACTGTGTAGATTGCCAGCTAGAGTAGCTCGATGTCTCCGTGTATGGAGCGCTTCTTATGCTGGAACAAGAAGAGACTGAGCGAGATATGTGTTGCGGCGCTCAGAGGAATCTGGCCCGGCCTTTCTTGTATAGGGACAGATAGCACTAACAGGCCGGGCCAATCTCCGAGTGGGTACTCAATACATACCTAGGGCACGGAAGCCTGTTTCCAGAATGCCCAAGTACTTGCCTTTGACTGCGACATGTTTCTGAATACCCAAGTACTTACCTTTATCCGAGGCATCTCCGTGTATTAGGCAAGTACTTACCTTCATCTGAAATATTGCGTTCAGCGCACCAACGCACCCAGGTCGAGTCCATCCACAATGTGCACTCTGGACAAATACTACAGCGCCATGCCGCCTGTGAACCGCAGTGCGCTGGCCTGTCATTTACGTACGTGGCATGTGGCTGTAACCACTGTCGCATGCGGCCACTCCGGCGTACTGGACGATACGGCACTGTGCAAGCCTGCGAGCCCGGGTCCCAATTCCTACCAATGAAACCTAATCACCAGATCGTCCTAGCGCTGGAGGTTTCCCCAAGGGTTGTTTCCGCACAGTGTCCAGTATGGCCGGCGGCAGGTACGGAAGGAGGCCGCCACAGCGGGTACAGGAGTCACATGGATACTTCGTGACGTATACAGGAGGTCGCGAATGAGCATGTCATGGAGGAGAGCCTGGTGACGGCGGCGCATAAGCGGATTGCGACGGTGATTGTGATCCCGCACCAGCGAGGGCGACAAGACGTAGCGTTTGCGGGCGCGGCATGGTCGAGGGTTGTTCTGCGCGGGCGGGCGTGAGGTGCGCGGCTCTACCTCGGGTATCCGCCCCGACGTTTCCCCATTGGGCAGGACTAAGCTAGATAGGTAAGGCTGGGCCAAGACTCCTCGAGTCCAAGCTTCCTCAGCAGCCAGCGCAACAACACAGCAAGCATCACAACAACCATCTCGAGCCATCCCGCCCATCGCGTTCCACCTCCGCGCCGCACATACATGCCGGCCAAGCGCGTGCGCTCTGAGAGCCCCGCTGCCGCCCGCTGCAAGCGCCCTCGCCGCAGCGCCCATCGCGAGGGCGAGAGCGACCGCACCCCCAACGCCGCCGAATGCCCCACAGCGCCCTGCCCACCGCCGCAGCCGCTCCCTGAAGCTGCGCCCGAGACGCTGCTCACCACCGGCGGCAGCGCCAGCGACACCGAAAGCGGCCGCAGCCGCAGCCGCAGCCCCGCCGCCCGCGAGTCCCCGCCGGGCTCCCCCGCACCGCCGCAGCCGCTCACCGAAGCCAACCTCGAGGCGCTGAACCGCTCATCGCTCCCGGAAGCCAGCTGCTTGTCTGAAAGCGCCCCTTCCATGTCGGCATCCGCAGCCTCGACGTCCGCCGACGACATTGCCGCGCGTCTGAAACTGCAGGCCTACCGCATCCACGTCGACACGACCGTGAGCATGCCGGTCGAGCTGCAGGCGCACATCACCACGCACATCACAAAGGCGCGCAGGCCCGAGGAAAAAGTGTCGCCGTATGCACAGCGCGTCGTAGACAAGCGAGCAGACGCGGCAAAGGTGCGCGAGGACTCAGCCATCCGCTCGCTGGAGCCGGCGCTGATGGCAGGGCTGCACGGCGACGACGAGCACAGCTTCCCCGGCGTGGCGGCCGACTTCAAGTGCAAGATTTCCCGCGCCTTGCTCCCGTGCGGCAGCGACGAGGTGCGCAGTGCATACGGCCCTCTCGCCTAGCCCGAGGCCGACTGCTCGTATGGCTACACGACCCGCTATCGCGCCCCTGAGCCCGCCGGCGCCGTCTTCACATCGCAGCAGGAGACCAAGCTGCACGCCGCCGGTCTGGAGATCTCCTCGCTGCAGCACTTTCCGTTCCTGACCGCGCAGTGGAAGCGCCCACCCGGCACCGAGGGCATCTTCGCCGCGCAGACGCAGAGCGCCCGCGACGGCGCCGCTGTCGTCAACCTCCTGCACAAGCTGCACGGCCCCGATGCAGCACTCGCCGACACCTGCCACTATTCCTGCACGACCGACGGCGAGCAGGTGCAGTTCTTCGTCCACTGGCGCGCCGACGAGCTGGACGGCGGCGTGCCTGTTACCGCGCACCGGATGAAGTGGTTCGAGAGCCTTTCCATGCGGAAGCCGGCCGACATGCGCGAGGCCCGCAACATCATCAAGAACATCGCCACCTACGCTGTTGGGCCCCGCCTCGCCGCCATCAAGACCGCCATTGACGCCCATGCGCTTCCGCAGCAGAAACGACGCGCGCCGACAGAGACCGATACGTCGCTGACTGCCGGCCCCGACGATCCAGCCCAGATCCCCGCCGACGCGCCTGCAGGTCTCTTTCCGTCGCCGCGGTCATCGGTGTCGTCTAAGCCTGCCAAGAAGCGGAAGCGATAGAAGACGTGAAGAGGCACGCCGACGTGCAAGATGACTACTTCCCCCGCACCCTACCCGGCATACCGCCAGTACACGTCGCAGTCGACCACGCAGACGCGCCGCTACGCTTCACCCAACGGCCACCCCACACCTGCCGACCGCGCTTCGCGAACATCGGGAGGAGCTCTGTAGCCTGCAATCCGACCTGTAGCACCAGCGGCCGCGCCAGCTTCGCGTAGCACCCGAGCTGCTCCCAAAGCGTTGCACCGTCAACGGACCACGCCCTACTGCCAAGGCAATCAACAGCCAGCCCGCTACTCACACGGCCGCGTAGCACCACTAGGCTCGCAAAACCTGGGTGTGTGGGCACCACGCGCTTTGGCTCGCCCGCTGACCACTGCGCAGATTGCGCGGACTCCGAAGCTCATTATTACGGCTCGGAGCAACCTGTACTTTCCCCGCTACAAAACCGCAAGGAGCCTCACCGTCGCCACACGCCTCTCCCAAGCCCACTAGCGCCGCGCGTCGCACGCTGTACCGCCACAGCACAACGGCTACTCCTCGCCGCGCGGGGCCAACACGCCACAGTGCATGTCGACTCTCTGCTGTCGGACGCATGCGCAGCGACCGAGCCCATGATATGGCGCCGCGACCACGGCATTCCTGCTCTCGCTACAAGGACATTGCGCACGACGCCGTGCGCCGCAGTGGCCCAAGTTGCTGCTCTTGAAGGAGTCGGTAAAGGTCACGCCGGGACCAAGGAGGATACCTACTCCGCTGTGTATCTGGAAGACGAACAAATATGTCATGTTTCATTGAACGTCTACTGCCCTTGATGTATAATGCTTCGATCTGACAGCACTGACGACACGTAGTAGGTATTTGGCACGCGCGCCTTGACTTGACATAGGATAGCGCTGGTAGACTAACGATCCTTCACCCACTAACATTGTCGTCATCCTCGCTTCTCTATCGTACAGCACAGAACAGCTTGAGGTCGACACTAGATTATTTGTTCATAGCCCTTCACTTTGCATGTAGGGAGAATGATTTGCCCATCAGACTCCCAAGACGCCCAAGAAGTCCCAGACCTCGCGAGCGAAGCCACATTTGCCCGTCGGCGCGTTAGACGCCAGTATCTTGAAGATCTAGGATGCCGTCCGCGCACGCCGGCGTACTTGATCCCAGGGCTAGTGAGTCATGCTCTGCAGTATGCGGACGAATGGATACTGCTCTATGTCCCGCCGCTTGCCACATGGTAGCCGTGCGTATTTCATGGAGGTCAGCTTCCGCTATCTGCGCTGGGCGCTTCGCGGCTTTGACATGTTAGTGTAATCAATCCACCTATCCCCTTCCATTTAGAGCATGCGCACAGTGGATTTACGCAACTATTGTGGCCATCAAGGATGTCGGCCCGGCCTTGGCTGGTTGGGAAGGCTCCGGCCAAGGACCCTCTGCCCCTGTTGCGATAAGTACCTGCCAACAGCCATAGTAGAAAACGTGCGAATACGCATCATACGTGCTTTTGTAGTGTATATCACTGTGGCAAGCCAGTTCTTTTGCAGGCCCGTGTTAACGCAGGGTCGGGCCAAGTACCTAAAGATCGGGCCAAAACACCCTGCTTCTATGCGACGTGAAGACATGTATGTAACTGAGAATGAGCTTCGAGGTAGCGCTAGAATCAATAAAGGGCATCATCAGGCGAGGTGTGTATCAAATGGATGCTTGGCGCTTGGAATCCCGGGCCTACACAAGGGGTTACCTGGCGTTACCGTGGTCATATCAGTACAGGCGCCCATCAGGGGATGCTTAACTTCCTATCCTTGTGAAAATCTATGAATGCGGCGAGCTACTTCACAAGCGGGGAAATGCCGATGAGGTGTGGTTAACGCAAGAGACATAAAACAGCCAAGCTGTAAGTCTACTAAGTAAAAAGTAATAGTGACTGAAAGGTAGAGTTCCCCCACTATGCCGATGCCTGGTAGGCCCAGAACACTACCTTCGAGCACGACAGATCCAACTGTTGGGAACCTTCTTGTATCCTCAATTAGTGCGCCTACGAGTAAGAAGAGTGTTTTCCTCCAATGTTAACCCGTTGAGTAAAGCCGGTACTACTAAGAAATGGCCATTAGCTGTTATCTTTTGCACTGGGGCGCGATATTTTACTTTTAAATAAGCTATTGTTCTCTTAACGTTGGTCAGCATTACCTAGTCATTGTAACCGCTTCCATCCCGTCAATCTTCTTCAACCATAAGGCCTTGAGGACTTGAACATAAACGCGGCACACTCTCTTATATTAGCGTCCTCAATACTAGGTCTCACTGAAAGAGTGGGCGGTGTAGGTGTCGTAGGCGGCTCTAATAATCATCGCGTTGTACTCTCGGAAGGCCAGCGTGTTTGGGTAGCGCGACTTGGAGCAATTCACGAACCTGAGTCCATCAATGCGGGTGAATATATTGGTGCCCATCTACACATAGGATGTATCTTGATCATTCTATGACTGAGCGTAGAGTAGGAAGGCGGGCTCACGAGGGAGTAATGGGGATAGAAGTTTTCCATCACATCCGCTCATCGTTTGGGTGTCCTGCTGGTCCTGGATCTGGTAGTCTAATCGACCTCGGGTTCCTCGAGGGTCTATGTGGTATTGAATCTTCCTGGGTTATCTGAGTAGAGTACGCGTGCGGCTCCACGTACATACTACCCATTTCATGACCAACGTCCATATCATGGGGATAGGATAAGCGCGGCATGTAGTTATACGTGTTCACACAGCACATAAAGACCGCTTCAACCAAAGACATACTTAACTGTTACTTGGGTTGTCCGTCGGCGAGACAACGTCAGGGACGAAGCAGACCCTATACTATTTGAGAACCTGGGCGCTAAGGTATTAGACAACCTGAGGCAGCAGATGATGTTGATGTTCGTCATGATGGTCATGTCGGTCGCCAGGGTGCCGAATTGGAGTTCGGCGAGAACTAGGTAAAAAAAAAAAAAAAAAAAAAGGCCGCAGTCTCGGCGAGAGAATAATGGCCAACTTGCCTGTCCACTTTACAATGAAGTAGATGGTGTCGCTAATGTATGGAAAACGACTAGAGCTTGGTGACCCAGGCGATGATACAAAAATCGATTGGCAGCACTAATAGAAGCAACCATGACCCTAAACCTCCGTCTGGCCCATACGAGCGCTGGGGATCCATTCACAATTAGGTAGCGGCACGCGTCCGTTTACTCTATATCTGAGCAGCCATCTACGTTGAATAACAACTCGGTCACCTCCAGGAGGGCTAGAACAGAGCGTCGTGTGTGATGGGGATGGCCTTGCATCCTTGACGTCGGTGCGCTTTAGGAAGTACATGCAGGACACGGAAAGAAACGGCCACCATTGTACCATGGTGGTGGGCAAGTTGTTCCACAAGGCCAAACATGACGATCTACCCTTACTGCAGCGTCCTGGAGTGCATCAGATCTGACCAAGAGGCATGGGGCGGCATTGTAACTCCTTGGGATACATGTGTATTAGTCCGCGGCTGCCGGCATGTTGGGCTGGTTAGAGCAGTTCATGGCGTTGCTCGAGGCCACTAGCCACGTCGCCGTAATGTTGTCGGTGACGGTAGTCAACATGCGGACCGTTGACCATAGGTGGGTGAATTTGTAAGCCCTACCACGTCACCGTTATGAGACTGAAGTCGTCGTTACCAGCCGCTAGCGTGCTCACCAGCATGGAGGCACTCCCGCACTTAGTATATTCGATATGTTAAGTAAGATAATATTTGCGAGGTTGCCCAGAGTCTCACCGTGGGATGAAGATATCCTAACCGGGCCAACGAATATGAGACAACTATTGTGACATAACCACTCGCCCATGTACACCTCCACGATAGAGAGCCTTGAGATCTTTCCAATACATTACTAATTAAAGACTTGTTGAGACATCTATACCAGAGAAGCAAACTCGTAATCATCCATGGGTATGATGATGGCATGAGCGAAGCTCCCGGACCAGTCCGTAATCCCATTATCGGTCGCTCTTGACTGTCAACTTCATTTGAATAATCCTCCAGTTATAGCATGTCTTCTTGAGAAGGCCTACACTGGTGTATGCTAGTTCATATGATTCGGATAGTGTCCTTGACCAACGATTGATTCATGGCCCTATTCTTGCTGCTGGTTGAATCTGACCGGCATGTCCTCAACCGTCTTCGGTGTCATGTGTCACAGCCAAGCGATCCTCTCAAACCTCTGCCTGTTCGCCATGTGTCGCACTCGCTCGTGTCCGTCCTTGCTATCAGCGCCGACGCATCCGTTCTGAGGATGTCATCGTCGTCTTGGCGATGTGGTCCGCAAACCAGTCCCATTTCTAGCTGACATTTTATCAGCGGGGTTGGTCACCACATATCAGTTCAGGATGACAAGTCTAAGTCTCTCGACATGCATTCGACATGGTGAAGGTGATGCATGCTACCCGTAATACCTTCACCAACGCCAAGCGGGGCGCACATGAATACGATCAGGGACGTGTATAGCCAGATGAGCTTGCAGACCTACTGAAGGTGTAGGCTGATGCCGATGGGTACTGACGTGAAGTTGATGGGGATAGCTGCAGAGTCATGAGCGGGTATTCGACGTGGTTCAAGAACGGCCACCGGTTGAACGCCATGATGCTGGTTACCAGACATCATCCAGAAGTCGATGCACTGACAGATAGGCTCGTGTACGAGTCGGAGCTTGACTCTGTGAGGGCGAGAAAGCCCGTCGGCTCCGTGCCGCTCATGAAGTGGGTGCGGGGCCGGGTGAGACGAAGCGGTCCAGTCGGTGATCTCCTTATTGAGAATGGGGTGATCCAGGTCAATGTGGTGGTCAGCGACCTGCTGAAGTAGGTATCGTCCTTGAGAAAGTCAAATAGAGTCGTGGAGAAGAGTGCTGGCCAACACGTTGAGTACAGCTCAATTTGGCCCACCTTTCCTAAACAGGAAAGGCGGGGGCCGAAGGGTAGTGAAGTCGGCCAAACACAACAACCCTGGAGTCGCCTCTCACCACTCACCTCATGGTTCAGCAGTGCCGCTACCTTGCTTACGGCCTAGCAGGTACCCTCTAGATCGATCCCGGCGCTTCATCCGCTGCTCCCACAACCCAAATTCCAAGCCGATCGAGAAGTTGCAAATCGATCGAGCTACTCCAGCCATGGCGCAGCGATCAGGTGAGCCAAACAACGCAGGCAATCGTACATTGTACTCACCGGATAGCAGACGCGCGCTATCTCACTGCGCTTCAACCTGTCGCGGGCAGAGGCTTGGGCGTCGTCGCCGAAGCCGACATCCAGCGCGGCACTCGCATCCTCGCAGAATCGCCCTTGTTGAGCACACGCCACAGTACGCTATGTGAGCCCCAAGCGGTCATTGAGCAATTCGAGGGCCTCGACAGGTCTTCGCAGGCCCTATACTTGGAGCTCTATTCCTATGAGGAAAGCCCATTCAAGCTCGCTTATGAACAGTTGATGGCGAAGAGTTGGCACGAGCTTCTACCGGTGCATCAGAAGGCTTACTTGATCTGGACGGCAAATGCGTTCGGTGACTCGAATGCCGTATACCTCCACGCCTCCCGCTTCAACCATTCTTGCATTCCCAATGTCGAGGTCCACTGGAACCCAGCACTTGAGAAGCAGACGTGTCACGCCATCAGGGATATCAAAGCCGGAGAAGAGCTTACCATCACGTATATCCCACTGTACCTCGCTCGCATCGAACGTCAGGCCAGGCTACATCACTGGGGTTTTCAGTGCGCCTGCGCCGCATGCGAGGACACAGAGCTTGGCAAGGCAACAGAGGCGAAGCGCATGCAGCTAATCAAATATGCTGACGAACTTTCTAATGGCCTCCGAGACGGTTCTGAGACGCCATGGACCAAGTCACTGGTGCGAGCGGCCAAATTGGCCAAGTTGCAAGTCGCAGAGGGCCTGCTTGGGGGAAGATCGCTTCGACCAAGGTAAGACAGAGCCGCTAGGTGGCTGGCAGCTATCCGTCTAACGTCCAGTAGCTACCATCTCGCCACCAAAGCATGTCTGAAAGGAGGAGGATACCGCATGGCTACGTATTGGATCCGCAAAGCGCTCGAGATCGACTACTACTGTATGGGAGATGATCATCCCAAGTATAGAGAGGAGTTGGACGTTGCGAAAACACTTGCAGAGACAGCCGAGGGCTCAGCACCGCTGCACGACTCAGTGAAGCGTTACTACGCGGACGATGCCATGACACCACAAGAGGCTCAACTTCAAAAGTATGGAACGTTGGTGCAAATGTTCGCCAACACGGCCAAATCTAGCGTCAAGGCCGGAGACTGCTTGACGGCTCATTTGTGGGCGGATAGGCTCTTGCGAACGACCCGTCAGATCGAAAATTGTCTATACGACGGCGACATCGAGGAGTTGGAGCGAGTGGTCCAGGACTTGAGTCTCAACGCAAGCCCGTCGATGCCTATGCCAAGGTCAGCACTCGCTTGGGCATGTACGTGAAGCATGGATCGCCTTCGGGCATTCATTCGGATAGCTTGGGTGGATGGTAGTTGAAGCCATTGACTCGGTGGGGAGCGTGTATTTCGAGGCCGGCTTGACCTGTCTCGAAACAAGTTACTAGTCCTAGCACGGAATTTATTCCAGCGATGAGGGTGATCTCTCTGGACTACATACAGAACCTGTAGCAATATCATGGTTTGCACCATTTCTTGGAGCTTTGACCCGGCCTTTCAGGCGGAACAAGACGAGCAAAGCGACCAACTATAGCCAATGCAGATATAATGAAGAAGCGAGCAAAACCGTTCGAGTATTTCAGGAGTTGGAAATAGGTGTTAGGTAGAGATGCGCAGACACGTACATGCGTAGTCGCCGGCCTCCTCTTTAGCGCAGAAAGGTCCCCCTCTAGCAGCAGCAGGTTCGATTTCTGTTTCTGAAGGTAGCGCGTGTAGGGGTAGTGCCACAGGGGTCTTGCGCCAAGTCATTGTGCATGTCTTCTCATTCGCGTCGGAGAGCACATCAAGTACGTCAAACGCAGGAAGTGATGGGAACAGTGTGTTTCCGTTGGTAAAGGCACTTGCGGTGCTCAAAATTGTTAGCTCTTACTATCCGCGCTTCCCTCCGCCCCAAAGGGAGGCAATGAGGCTGCCAGTAAACTAGTTCAGGGTCCTTGGGGTAGGTTGCATTGTAGCTCTTCAGGATAACGACTCTGTCGCCACCCAATGTTGTGTGATGCTGATTACTTTTGAAAAGGCGGCGCAACCGCGTGAGGTGTTCATCGGCTCGCGCTGAGCGCTGAAGGGTTCTGCTTATCTCAAAGCCGGTAGTAGCTGTTGTTACTACCGTGCTTTGCCGGACATCAACTCCCATCTGGCCGCGAATCGGCGAAACTACTCGGGATGACACAGAACAGTGTCACTCGTGATGGCACCACCTCGATGCTTGATACTTTGCAGTCCCATACCATGCAGAGCTCGCTTTCATCAGGTTGCTCCAAATTCAGGTAGTACAATGACGTCAGTGGTAATTTAAGCGTGCGGGAAAGCAAACTTATGCCCTTCACACGACAACAAACACACTCCCGCGAGTATTTCCTTCGCTCTTCACACATAGAGCGAGCGTCTTGTAGGTATTCAAACCTAATGGACGACTTAACAGCTGCTAACTCAAACCCAGCGCTCTTCTTTTCGTCTCCGCGGGTACACCTCTACCGTTTCCCCAGTACATCCTAGCTCCAGCAAATCAACGATTCCACTCACCTGAAAACCAGCATCAACACACCGCGTTGCTGCCTAGCATGCTGCTCCAGAGCGAGTATCCCGATCCATACGAACCAGGGCGATACCTCAAGACCGGCAAGATGGATAGCAAGAATGCTTCACAAGCGGCTCTGCCTAGTCGGCAGCTTTCACCCGCCATCTCAGACTCTTCCGCGCTGTCGTTTCTCTCACGGTCACCATCACCACCGCGCGGATTTGTCGAGCCTCGGCAGTTTGGCCTGAGCAACCCACTGCCAAAGGGGCACGCTGAAACGGTTCCGCACCATGACGCACCGCGTGGCGAAGCGGATGGACTCGTGCCATACACAATGGGTTGTGAGCTCTGTGGCGGCACAATCAGGACTACGGTGCAGGACGAGTTTTGCAAGCATCACAACATCGGCTACATTCAGCTCACGTCTGCCGACTTCCAGGATGCGCTGTGCGACTATCATACGAACCGGGACTGGGAAGAATCTCTCGAGGCTGGGTATCCGCAACATGTCAGCCTCGCTAGTCTGGAGAAGCGTCTCGTCCGCCACCAGAGCACCTTGGCTGCCATCCTGGACAGATCCAAGCCCAGCCCCTTCTTCGACACATACATGCAGGAGACGCAGACCAAGACAGTACGTCAAATGTTGTGGGGCGCCTCTAGACTGACTGGATACTACGGCGCTGAGGGGAGCGAAGAGATCCTGCATTGGGCCATGGACAACTTGAAATCCGACATGGAGCGTGCTGTCCACCGCTTTGGAGGAGGGAAAGGGGACCCACCAGGTGTGTGCATTCATGTGGTATGTCCAGAGGCAGCGCGTCTCCTCATCATGGAGGATATGAAATGCTCTGAGGAGGACTCCTACCGCATCTTGAAGGACTCGACCGAGTTTGATCTGGTCGCTCTCCAAAGGAACTAGATCAGGCGTCAGTCAGTCAAGATCGTGAAGACCGAGGTGATGCAGCAACTTCTGAACGCCTTGTCTGCTTCTCTGCGAAGACGAATATCTTGCCACTTCATTGAATGTGCGCCACCTCGTCTGAGCATGCGCACTGAAGTCTGTCCGTGTCTTCAAGTTCGGGTCCCGTTCCCAACATGGGCTTCTGGCTGCCAAATACCATCATCAGCATACGCTTTTACTGCTTTCAATTCTTCCACCCACATTACGCCGATAACGCACATGTACCTGCAGGTATACTTACTCGCGCTAAAATGCGCCGTCTTTTACCATTTCGATTTTTGTGGAGTCTTGGAGATACAACCTTTGATTTTCAACACCCACGTCCGTTATTCAGGCAGTATTGCCCTGAAGAGCGCGGACACTACGTAGGATCCGGCACCCACGGGTGTACCACAACATACGTATTATTTCTAGGTGGAAATACATATCTTACACTTCCCCTATATAGCCTTATACACTTGTTTCAGCTCATGTTACCCGCAACCGTGACGACCATACTAACAATTTACTCTGATCCCATGGACTCCCTTGCGCGAATGAACGCCTTTGCCGCATCTAAGATATGACTTTGTCCCCTTTCCAAGCGTTGAACGACCTCCGAGGAAGATCAACTCGATACCAAACCATCCCCTTGTGTATATAGGCACCGCGCAGTCTTGCGGCCATGTGCGTAGACTCCCCACTATGCGCATCATCGCCCGAGGTTGAGATGTGCGACTGCCGGTACCCATATCTCAATCCTACACAGCCATGCGTACGCAGTGCTGCATCACGTGTTGAGGAGATTACCTGCGAGGCCGAACCTGGGAGCTGCCCGCCGAGCTTACAAGCAGTGAGCTCCCAGCAGAACGTTCGACCATCCAGGGCATACTGGTATGTTATGCAGCGGGTTCGTCCTTGCGGGACTTTGGAGCATTTGTTGGAACTGAGGTGTAGACCGCACCATGCGGTAGACACCAAACTCTATTCAATGGCACTCGAGACTGGAACAAGCGCATAGGAGGAAGGGCGTAGATGACAGGGAGTGAGACGAGGCATCTATGTGACATGACGGAGTTATGTACTCCGAAGCGTCAACTTGTCCATCAAACTACCTTTGATTCCCCCCCGCGGAATCTTCCTACATCACATCCTGGGTTGGCGTAAGCGTCATTGGTTATGGAGAGCACCAGATAGCACGTGACACCTGGTATACGACGTGGTATTGTTGCCTTCTGACGAGCAGCAGTAGTGGACGGATATCGACTTGTCCATATGCCCATTACGGGTAAAGCTTGAAGCTGAGCTCTACCAGATGAGCATGGCGCGATATAGCGATTTGGGAGTGTGGTATAAAGCAAGTGGCTTATATATTTTCGCTTCTGAGTTCCTTTACCCCGCAGTATGCTTTACATGTCGTTGCAAGGTCCCAGCGCGCTGGCGTACTCTGTCTTAGTAGCCGAGCTCTCACTCACTGGCCGACCGATACACGAATGCATCCTCGCGAAAAGATTCTGTTCGGTCCTCACCCTACTTGGAGTCGAGAGGCACGCAGCTCTCACGTGACGGCAAATATCGCTATTCATCATGCAGGCATCGGCCGAAGTTGCGTCCGGTCTCAGTTTCTAGATCTGGTACCTGCATCGTCAGCATTGAGATGAAACGATTGTGGGCACAAAATGTCTGACATGCTTCGTTAGGTTCCTGTTAGTATACTATTGCCGAGTGGCCAAGTACCGATATGAGCCGGCCGATGTCGAACAGACGTAGCCTCACTCGAATGCACCTGCAGCTGAGATTATTGTCTGCACTGTAGCGTTGATGGTGGATAGCAGAACCAATCGCGTGTCACATGCAACGAAATTTCCGAAGCCCTTCCCGAGCTTGATTTCTCATCGCAAAAACTATGAAACCAGACTGTAGCTTCGACACACTACAGGCTGCTCTGCCTGTGTCCGAGGTGGACGACCTGAACCTAAATGTCTTGTATCTCAGTTGGGGCAAATCGCTCGCGCATTGCAGCTCCGCTGGCAAGTATGCCGAGTACCTTCAATCCCCCTCTCACCCACAGGCGTCTGAAAAAGACTGTGGCGACTTAAGGCTGACAGTGCAGCAGTTACATCTCTCGTACCAGAGAATTAACTGTACCCAAAGAATTACTTGCCTGCTACTCGTTTCGTCTCGACCGGCGCCGCGCCCTCGCGTCTCAGAGGAGCAACGAGCTGGCACGCCCGCTCACTCACCCAAAGTAGCCTCTCTCACTTCACTGTGCCTCGCACTGATGCCTTCCTTCCCCCACCGTACCCCCGCTCTCGACGTGACTTTTATCTCGAAGCACCTGGTCGATACGTGCTCCCTCCCTTGTCCCTGCCTTCCATCGACACCAGAATACCGCGTGCGGCAAGATGAGCCCTCCAGGATATTGCCGATCATTTCGCCAGCTGCCCCGCCTCGTGCTCGAGCGAGCCAAAGACCACCACCTGGAGCCTTTCCCCAAGAGGGTGATTCTCCTCGAGGACGGCGATGTCCTCACGATAGGCAGTGCGAGCGGCAGACGCCCCGCGCTGGCCAACAATGCGCGGTTCTCCGGCAGTCTGGACAAGGACCACGCCGTCATCCGCAGCGTCAGGCCTGGAGCACTGCAGATCTGCAATACGAGCACAACTCACGGCGTCGTGGTGGATGGGCTTCGGCTTTCCTTTGGTCAGAAATGGCGCTTGGAGCAGGGCTCCGTCATCACGCTCGAAGACGAGAGCGACCTGCTGTATCGTATGCATGTCCACTCTCTGTTCCGGGTCATGTGCTGACGTCCACAGAGCTGAAACCAGTCAAGATTTCGGTATTCTGTATCCCAGGCACGGGCGGATAAGAAGGTAGTCGGCCCCGTCGCGACATCTCAGCGACCTGATGAATCAAAGCGCAAAGGCATGCGGCTCGAGCATTGGCAGATCACGGAACATGGTTTTGGAGTTGGTGCATTGGGCTTACACGATACTTTGGACGTGGTCCAGAGCCCTGATGCACAGGCATGAGTGCAGTTGGACGACACACAAACATTGCTTAGCAGAGAGGATGGGCACATGTGGGCCGCCAGCAAAGGGTCGTGCTACCGAGAGATTACCCAGGCGCTGCAGCAATGAATAGAGCAATGCAGCACATGGTCACCAGAAGTTGCCTGCGCGTGAAAAGTGTGACAGGGAAGAGGGCAGCGTGACGAAATATGAATGCATTCATGCAACAGCTACCTACCCACGCAGTTTTCTCCATCTGGCGCGAAGGAAACAGGTGGTGGGAACAGAGACGTGCTGCTTGCGACCAAAGCCGCCGCGCAAGGGTATCTTCCGTTGACTCCGAAACGCCTGTAGTCCACCAAAGCAAAAGAACGCCGGGACGGCGAGATCACCATGCACAATGCTATGCAGTATCCTCGCGGGACGGAGCGGGCGGAGCGGGCGCACCTTTGACAGGCGACTTGTTCTTCTTGGGCGAACCGGCCTTGCCCACCCTCTGGGTGTTGATCGCGTTGCCGTGTGGGATGGGTGCGAGCGGCGTGCGCGGTTTCGGGGTTTGCGGAATGGGAGCGATCTGAGTGGATGCGTTGGGCTCTGGCTCGGATGCGACAGCGTCAGGAGAGGCCGCCTTGACGGGTGGGTAGGAGACGGGTGTGATTGTGGCGGCGTCGAGCGAGGCTGCTTCGGCGGAGGAGGCGCAGACGGGCGCGAGCGTAGTGGCGTAGGGAGGAGCGGTCTCGGCGAGGGTGTTGCGCATTGGCTCGGTCGTGGGGGCGTCGGTGGGCCTGGAGACCAGATCGGGGGAAACGTGGTCTTCGTCAGCGAAGCACATGTACGACATGACGTCGAGCCAGTTGTCGCCCACGGCGTGTCCGTTGTCGCACATGGTGTTGGCCTCGCCTGTAACGTCGCGGATGCTCAAGTCAAGACGCTTGACGATGCGAATGACGCTTGCGCCGCCAGTCTTGGTCGAATCACCCACCGAGGCCTCGTGAATCCGGATGCGGTCCTGGGTGACGGCGACAACGGTAACGTGCATGGCTACAAAGTAGCGATACGGACGTGGACGGTCGTCATCGGGACGGTTGCGCTTGAGCTGGCGATGCAGCAAGGCCAGCGCGCAAAAGAGCTCCGCTCGGTGCAGTGGCTCGTCTTGCTTTGGCTGCTCGGGCTGCGGGCGGATGGGCACGATGCAGCCGGTGACGTCGCGGCGGGGGAAGCCGCCGCAGAAGTCATCGACCAAGAAGATGAACGGGCTGCCCCAGATGACACGCTCGGGCGTCACGTCCCAGGTGGCTTGGTCGAGTGACTCCTGGTACACGTCCCCGGAACACGGTTCGCGGATCTGCACCACAGGCGGTGCCGTGTCTGCCCGGAGTTGGCGCGCGATGGTCGAGGCACAGTCGCCGATGCGGCGGGCCCAGTTGATGGTATGGCGGTCGGGCACGGAGGGGAGCGGGTGCAGGACGTCGTGCAGGTGGTCTGGCATGTGTGCGGGGACGAGGGCAGCACGCCGGGGGTCGAGCTGGTCGCGCGCGCGTCTGTCGGCCTCGTCGGTCACGTCCATGTTGTGTTGCCGGAGGAAGGCATTGGTGGGCGGCCCGGAGGACGCGCAGAGGGCCTTCAGGGCGACATGCACGGAGCTGGCAGCGGGATGCCGGGGCGGGCGCTCCACGGCTGCGGCATGCTCGCAGCCATGGTCGTGGCGGAGGGCAACGGCGATGCGCGTGTTTGTTGATGGCGTCGCGCGCTTGACTTGCTAGGACACCTTGGCGCGGATTGCTGAGTCAGCAGCGCGACCTGCCCGCCAGTCTGCCCCCGCCCGCCTCGCTGCCGCCCGGCAACTCAGCAGCGCCGGCCCATCGCCCTGCGCCCCGCCGCCCACCAGCCTGTCGCGCGTGCAACCTCCGCGCAAGGCCAAGACGGCCGCCGCGACACTCGACAAGTATGGACCTGACCTGCTCTCCTGGCTGGACGCGGCCGAGACGCTGGGCCTAGATGGGAACCGAAAGCTGCGAGACTTGGCCGCGGGCAAGCATTCCGCTTCCACCATGCCGGCCGTCGCAGCGCTGCAACTGCACACGCTGCACACGCGGGTCGGTGGTGCACAGCACGCAGCCAAAAACCTGGCCGCAAGCGACGTCGTCACGCCGCTGAGCGTTACGTCCATCCCGCATGCACATGGAGTGTAAGCGACACGCTCGCAACAAGGGAGAAGCTCAGATTCGCATCGAAGAGACGGGGCAGTTCGTGGCCACGGAGACCGACTTGCAGAGACAGCGTTTCTCTCGAGCAGACACAGTGACGGATGATGCTCAACAAACGGAACACAACCGATGATGGTGGCCTTCCACTTCGACGCCTTTTACCTAGTCAACATCCGTTTTGGCAACCCGTACCTCGACTACATTGGGAATCTGGACAGCGTCGCGTTTGATCCGGCGACCACAACGATTGACGACTTTGCCAAGTTCGAAGAGCATGGTCCATTCCGGATCGGTGATGAGGAGGATATGGTGGCTTTCATGAAGCTCTGTCTGGCCATTGTATTGTCCCTGATGGCCGAGACTGTGGAAGGAAGAGCGTTGATCACGAAGCTTGAGCGGGAATTGGATGCGCTTACGAAGGCGCTCTCGCAGCCCGGGTTGGAAAAGCTGCAAATCCTGGCGCAAGTGCACGGCGAAGACCTGCTCGGAAAGCTGGAGCGGCTGGAGGAAGTGCACAGAGGAGACTTTCTAGATCTTGCGGTAGAGCGGGAATTGTATAGGGCCAGGTTGAGGCGTCTACTGGGGAGTTACAGGCTGGAGGCGGCATTCTAATAAACCAGACGACCTCAGATCCTGAAGGTACACATCAAATCATGCCAGGGCAAATCGACACTTTCAGGGTCACAATTCAACCGATTACTGCGGCATGCGCGAACGGGTATATATTGGAGGCGTTGAAGCTTTTGCGTGGCGTGTTAGCTAGCATCACCGGCAGAGAGCGGAGAAGAGCCATGCGCCAGCCCCGCTCTGCGTATGTTTATTTTCTGTCGCTTGACATCCCAGCTGTGGTGCATCCAACAGTTTACTAGCAAGCACTTGCGTGGCAAAAGTATGGATGCTTGAGTGCGAAGCCATCTGGAGTCAAATAACGCGACTTCCACCTTCCAAATGTTACCCATTCAATCCAATTCGCGACCGACCTCACGGGAATCGACCCAGACCTATGCTCTGATCAGTCTCTGGCGTTTACGTGTCCTCCCGCGGAGACGCCTCAATCTACGTCCAAAGTCACCTGGAGCAAGTGGACAATATCCATTTTCCCTCGCTTCCGTCTCAGGCCGCACCTGGTTCTGGCTTCGCTGCCCCAAGCCGGCCCTCCAAGTCTCTAGCTGCATAGCCATCGGCAACACTAGCGACGCGCTGCCGATGTCCCGCTTTGATGCACTTTTCGGGGTTTTATACTTGAGCGATCTAGAAATTGGCGGACATGGGGTCGACACAATAGGCTGGTAGACTTGAGATAAAGGCAGATGCATTGAGACAGACAACACTGACAACACTAGAATCGAAGTGTTGACCCAGTACCGGGATAGTGGAGGGTTAAAGAGGGACGAAGGCGCGAAGAGTGTATTCCCACAGCGCTTGCTGTGTGATTGTGGGGTACCAGATGCAAACATTCAGTCAAACTACTATGGCTAAAAAAGAGCTATCTAGAAGACTTGCTTCCTAGGCTTACGGCGTTCAAATTCTTCGATGCCGGTGAAGCCCTCGTATGTTTAGGAGGGAGATGAATCCCTCCTTAAGGTGACTCGAAGCACCTATCTAGGCCGTTGACGTCGCCCGAGCATTGTCTACCTAGATAACCCAGAGGCGAAGCGATTCTAGCTTACCTACCTACCAAGGCCATGGCTATCACCACCGCCACCACGACTGAAAACGATCACGTTCCTAGAGTTTCAACACATGCCCTTGAGCCAGCGTCACTCAATTCGAGATTGCCCGACAAGGCGTTGTGGTGTAGCGACCACCTCTAGAGTAACAATGCGATGGAATCTGCGCGGGGCCTGATAACATGGATCGGAATCATGAAGCACATAGTATTTATAAGAACCCGCGGCACGATACAGTGATAGCAAATCTATTCAAGAAGTTCGACTCGGCTGCAGTCAGCTTACTTACTCAGTCCATGCGCATCCCTCAGTTTTTGGCAGCACATGTTCATACGCTTCGTTGCGCTGCTCCACCCAAGCTAGAAATTCGCACATCCCACGAGATGTCGAGAAGGAAACTCTCCAACCACATACTACTTGAATCTACTGGGTAAAGGGCGAGTGCGCTGTCGGGCATGCGGTGTTAGGTACCTATCCCCCAGTCAATGAAGGTAGGTAATCGAGCCCCCGAAACTCATCACGCACGAAATGGCCTAGCTCTTCAATGCAGACGAGAGCAGAGAGAATCCCTGGAAATCAGCAGACATGTAGGCCCAAGCAAGTTTCCCCTACACAGCAAAGACGAAGTGGAATCCAGAGCGGCGGCGAAGGCATTACCGACATGGCCGAGAATGTTCTGAGTGGTGCTGTCAGGATTCACAGGCGAGCAATGTAGATAGGTACAAGACGGGCTACCAAAGTAGATTGTAGGAGAGACGAATCGTTTTCGGACTAGATCCGACAGCTTCCCAGCCTTTATAGCTAGCTTCTGTTAGGCTGGACCTAATCGTCCTTGGCTACGCCCTGTCTCGACGGACATCCCGTGACCGGAGAGGTGAGGCATAGGATATCTTGGGTTCTGACAGACACACTTAATGTAATCAAAAGCCCCAGAGCCTAATTTGCAGGGGAAACACAAAACACCATAGGCACTTTCCATCCCATCGCCTCCGGTCGTCTCAAGGCCTTGGGCAGTCAGCTCCGTGCTCAAATTGTGACCCGTCCCGCCGTCAACAATAATTTCTCGGTGTTAATCAGCACCTACCAAACCAACGGGTTTTGAACCAAGGATATAGACAGCGGATCAAGTCCGTTTACATGAAGAAAGCAGAATCTGCCCCCAGAAGACCGCTGAAATGGCTAGGAATAGGATTCTTCAGGGCCTGTGCACGCAGGCGATTGAGGAAAAGTCCTGCGGGCTGATCTCCGGAGTGCGAGAACCCCGGTGATGTAGGTTAAGGCAGCCTAGACTACAATCGAAACAGGAGGAACTGAATTGCAGCCAATCAACGTCACCGCTATCCCATGCGTAAAGAGTCTGCATGCCTGTTTTTAGGGCGGAAAAGACACGTTCAGAAAAGAGAAGGAGCCAGGGCCCTTGGTGTGGATATCCCAGCCCGGTCGCATGTTGTGCCCAGTTCTAGTACTTGCAGCTACTCCACCACGCCTCAGGCCCGCGGTTAGCAAGCGAACTGCCAATCCCCTTACTTCGCGCTGAACTTGCATGCGTCCCTCAAATCACTGCAGTGGGATTGGCCCGGGTCCTAATGCCGGACAGACAGGCTGGGACGGAAACCTCGCGTAGGACCCAACCAGACTTCGCTCGCGCGTCCACCGTCACGAACATCGTGCAAGGATATGAAAAGCTTATCTCGACCGCAAGACTCCTTGTTCTAACAGTAAGCCTCATCATAGCATGTGCGGAGCAGAGTAAGTCGTATACGTAGTACCGTGGCTGCGTGCAGCCAATCAGCGTCTTCCGACAGTACTCGTTGGGGACGCTAAATAGCGGGCTGAACTGCTCCCATGCCATTGTATGGTGGGGTTTCCATGCTGTTGTATAGTCGGAGATGGTCATCAACCGTCCTGTCGGGGGTTGCTTCTCGCACAATATCCATTATAGCGGACGGAGAGCAGGTAGGCAGCCTAGCTACCCCAGCAGGTGCAGGTGAAGGAAGCTGCCAACGTTGCGTGCGTGAGATGGGACCCTGTGAGAGCAACTTGCGGGGTGGAAGGCGAGCGCCTTATCATCATTCGCATGATCACCATGGGCAGCACGGATAGCAATCGCAGCAACATCATAGGTATCGTGAGCATTGGCATCATCATCATCATCGGCATCACGACATACGAGATTAGTCATACAAAGGAAACTTTTCACCATTGCTATGAGATATCAAAGACGTCCGCAGCAAGATGTGATACAGACCGGGACCTACTCCCCCAATGCCTTAACCGTGAATGGTGTTCATGCCATGAAATGTAATGTCGAGCCTGCCTTGGCGATGACGAACGACGTCGTGCTGTCCGGCGCCTCATCGGCTCCCCGGGCCTCGTCAACACACAGTTAGCCAAGGTGAGCAACAGATGCGCCATACGGTGCTTACCATGCCGATCAAAGCTCATTGTTGTCGATAGTGATGTCGATAGTTTCGCGAGCCATGTACGTCGCCGTCTGGCGGTCCAGTGTGGTCTTACGAATGGCCTTCTCGAGGTCTTCTCCGATCCTGTTCAAGTTCGCTTGGAATGCCTCGCGTTTCTTCTGCTCTTGTAGCTCGCCACGAGCATTTTGCATCTCCAGGCTTTCAGCAGCCGTCATCCTGCGCCGAATGAACTTCCACTGGGCACGCAGCTTCTGCTTATCCTCGCACGTATCGTTCCACTCTTGGTAGAGTTCAGGGTGCCAGTGTACGAGTCCACGACCGCGATAGGCTTGGATGTCGTGCCCGTTGAGCCCCGAGAGACGGAGAGACTTATGGAACGCCACCAGCTCAGGCTGGAACTTGGTCCGCGACCGGCGCTCTCGCTCGACATCCTCTCCCGCGTATGTCTTGCCGGGACATAGGCCCGCGAGGCGGGGGGATCGCCTCATGCTGGGAGCTGGAACCCTGTTAGTCATCCATGCGTGCAGTGTCCAGATCATACACGTAGGACGTGCTCACGTTTATGCATTGGAGCGCGATGAGGGGTTTGTGGTTCCACCATTTGATTTGACGGACAAGAACGTTAGAATGCGGGAGGGATCTTATTCCTGAGGGCAGAGGAGATGAGATGAGTGGAGGGGTGCAAAGGCTTCCGCCTACCGCGATTTGCACACTCTTATCGTTTGAGACGCTCGCATGTCAATCAGGTGCTCGGCAGCCAATGCCCCTGTTATGGTGCAGTGTCCCGTGCTTTCCAACAAACAAATAATGAGTAAAATCAACCATGCAGTAGGTCCTCTGGGGCGCGCATGACTGTTTGCTTAGCGGAAAGCGTTTCTTGGGCTTTGGCAATGGTTGTCTGGCGGCGTACGACTGGCAGTTGCAGGCGGGAGAGCCGCGTGGATCCCCATGTGATGCAGAAATCCACTCGGCTGTGGTAGTGGCATTAGAATGCATGTATGCAAGCGCGCATGTTGCCCCGGGGAAGAACCTAAAGGCATCCACAGGAGCGGGGGATTCTTCGCCGTCGTGTACGTTTGCACCAGTATCGCTGGGTGTGGACCGTCGTCAAGGCCGATGCGCGCAGTGTTGAGCGAATCGGCATTGTGGAGTTGGGATTGAACTGGACTTGGTGGGTGTGTACGTCTGCCGTAGAGTCGCTGGATGTCAAAGCGGATGTGTGCTGTCTTCACCGGCAGCAGTTGCGGGTGTGTGCATCTACTCTGGAGACAGAATGTTTGAAGGCGGGTGCGTGCTTTATTGTCCGCCGGCGCTACGCGTAACGTTGCGATTGGCTGCTCCCAGGACGCTGGTCCCACGACTCCACCACTCGTCCAGGCAAAAGCGCTGCTGCCTGAACTGCACCCAGAATAGGCCTCTGATGGCCCCTTCGTGCAACGTCGAGTTTTCCTTCCTAGTCGCGTGACGCACAGCATGAAGAATGTGTAGGCTTTGTATCCCGGCTATGCGGGGCTGGCGGCGCCTTATCCCATTCGCTCGTCTAGCTTCTTCAATCGCCTAGTTATGACTGGTCCTTCCCAACTGGGTTTGGACAGCTTCAAAGCTTGTTTTGGTACTAGTTCCCGTGCGTGCTCGTCGACTTGTGTCCTGGCTTCGAATGCCGTATGAGGAGATGAGGTCGCAATAGTCCAGCTCGAAGTAGTCCTAACAGTCGATGATTGCCAAGATGGAATAATGAATAGGACGAGGAGGCTGCGCTCCACCTCACTATCAGTATCACTTGTCCTTCTTGGCAAATCACCAACTATTCCCTCAAATTGAAATTGAAGAGGTGCTTTCTTGCGTAGGCTGGTAATACAGCTTGTAGAGCTTGCTGTTGCGTAGGTTAAGAGCGTGCTGGATAAGAAATAGACCTTTAATCTCGTTGTTGGCCATTCTCCAAACTACTGCGAATGGGAGTGCCATTCGACCCTTACCCGCATCTGGAGTCCAGCGCCTGCTAAGATGGATTAGTAGTGGTTTAGGTGTGTCAATTGTCTCTATATAGGGTGCTTTATACAGGTGAGCTCTGTGAGCGCCTAAGGGTCACTCTAGGTAGTGGAAGTTTTGTGAGAGTGGTGAGGTCATAGAATCTATTATCTTCTCTAGCTCTGCTTGCCTTTCCCCTAGGAAGAAATATGGGACACTGTCGACGGGACATATCTCGATTTCAATTGATGTAACGTTATCCTGGCCAACACTATATGTGTTAAACCAGTTCCAATGGTTATCCATCACATTGCGGAGATCATGCGTACTCGTCTCGTTTCAATTATCTATCGTTAGTGAGCTGACATCAATTTTTCGGTGCACCTACGTAGGTCTCTAAAATAGTACCTAGAAAGCGTTTCTACGTGCGCCTCATCCAGGCTCCTTGAGCTCTTGGTCGGTTCCTACGCCTCTTCCAGCTTTGCGTTTCTCCAAGCGGACGTGTATGAAGGATTCAAGACTCTAGAAATCATGTTGGTCTAGGGCTGAGACTTGGTCGCCACTTCGATTATGGAAAACGCCCACTGATGCCGGTGGTAGATGTTTTCACTTGGGTGTTGAACGACTAACAGAGAGTGATATAGCAGTGATGTGAGAGGAGAACGTTCGTATATGACGCTTGAGGGCGGCCAATGTGCTCCGCGCACTTCGGATTTACCATGACCCATGCTCTGGCTGAGTTTGAGTCCGTGGTTTCGTCTGGCGTAACACCTCATATGTCACATGAACACATAGCATAGAGCGGAACAATTTCTACATAAAGGACGCCAACATGTAATAGAGACGAATAATGCTTCTCCCATGATTCTGGTATGAAGATATGTACATTTGCTCATACTCTAGATGTGACTCATACGTCTTTGCGCACTATCAGAAACCCCAGCTATAGCCTAGATTATGAGCTCGGAGACAAGCGGAAAGACGCTATTATATCTCCAGCCATAGTGGGAATGGCTCAACTTGTACACGACCACCCTGGTACGGTTGCCACAGCATTCCAACTATTTTAAAGTCTTGGATTACAAGTGTGCAGCTCTACCGCGTGTAGGAATTAAGAGACGCGGTGCCATACACCGCATGCGCCTATAGTCTCACACAATGATAAGGATAGGTTCTAGTACTACCAGGTCCAGTGCAATTGGCACGGTAAAACTCTATAAACACAGCAAATTCCCAGGTACATGGCTTTACAAACCAGGCGGCGCCATTAGACCTCACGAGCATTTATCCTACTATACAGTTATTGTACCGCATTTAGGCCCAAATTTTACGGAGATGGCCTAGTATTACGGCTTGTAAAAAGGCTTAAAGGGTCAAACAGCCAGGACAATTGACATAATTGGCAAATTGTATTTCTCCAAGGCCGTCTATCCATCTGCACAGCTCATGGAGGACCTTTAGTTTGGTAGTTTTGGCTTCCTTTGTAGGTCTCTTGCGGAAGGCGAGTATCTTGAGTCGGAGATAGCTAGCTGGCAACACTAATGGGTGTAAGAGAGATGTCCCCAAGATACACATTGGCAACCATATATTCCATAGAAGCAGCAATTTATTTGCTCTATAGTGATAAATAGCAATCAACTGCACACTTACAAAGAAGTACACTCTCACAACCAAACATTACGATTGGTCTACAGTAGCAAAGAGTTGTTTTTTGCTGTATAACCACTAAGTAGTACAACCTGGACGTACATATAAGGTCTACAGAGACCACTCACTCAGGACATCTCATCTATAACACCTCCATCGATTCAACTTTGAATCGTTAAACTCCTTCAAAAGCGCATTTTGAACCCCTTGTAGTCTTGAGTCCATCGTCACAGCTCCTCAATCCTCCAATTCTGCAAACGCCCTGAAAAATCTACCTACGTAAACGTCCGCAACCCTAAACATGTCTCTTCGCCCCCAACGATCTACTCAAGATCGAACTGGTCATGCCACCACTGGTATGGCTCCACGACTTCACCAAGGCGGCACCGACTCAGTCGCTCGTCTCACCTCTCCATCCACAATGATTATTTGTCATGGTGCAACGAAAATCACGATTATCCAGCAAATGCCAAGAGAAAACAGCCCCATGGCTGCCGCAACAGCCAAGGCAGGACCATTGACCAATGTCACACTTCCGCCAACCAGTCGTCCAAGAATTCTCGAGGAGAACCCGGATGCCACTCAGCGAACCCATGGCCCACGACTCAGCAATTCGAGTGCACCCGTCCGACGTGGTATTGATGGTCCGCGTGAGTACCTTCCCACTGGACGGCACGAAGCTATTGATATACTAGGTGCTATTGTTAGGCCGGTTCTTATTATATCTTTCGTAGCTTGTACAACAGCTATTTGCGTTGCCGCAGGCTTCGCCAGTACACCTTGGATCCACGATGCTTTCCGGCGTTTGGTCTGACGCTTCGCTATTTTCACTTACGGACTTCTTTTCTTACAACACCCACCTTTCTAAGCGTCGCGAGGTGATACGATAGGTGGGGTGATGGCTGGTTTTGGTTTTGTCTCCTTGGGTTGTTATTGGCTGCGTTGATAGACTGACTGCGTTCTCGATTTATGACATCATTATTGCGCATAGAACGCGCTCGCGTAGATTAACATATTATGGCGGTACCCAGCCACTAAATTCAAGCATTCTTCCCTCCCTTGTTCCTCTGCTTCTTTCTGATACATGGTCTTGTCCTGTGATGCGAACCCGTTACCGAGTAGCCTACGAACCCAGACGTCCAGCCAAATTGCCGCACCATGTTTGCCAGCCAACTACCGATCGTTTGGTCTTCCGCAGGCGAAGTCCCTTGGCTAAGATACGTAGGAACAGGGAGCCAGAGCGTAAGGATGGATGCAGCAGAAAAGTATCAGCCCGGCATGTATCCAAAGGCCGCAAAGCTAGATCTGGCTTTCATGACAAATAATTAAATTAGCAGACTGTATTTCTTTGTATTGTGAGATTAATGTAATTGCCTGGGCGCAGCCCTTGTTCCCGGGGTCGTATATTTGGAGTGCGAATCCTGCCAGAGGACGATTAGAACGTAAAAGGCGACTCAAACTTGGCTCCACTGGAGGACAGATAGTGCTAACTTATCCTTTAATAATTTTAGATAATTTTAGCAATCTTTACCTACCGCATAAGAGCTTTTGACCAGTTTTACTGTAATGAAGTCTAAGAAAGATACGCCTTCACACTACTCCACCTTCTTTCTCACTTGGCCATGTATGGCGGCTAGTGTAGCGAGGTATCTATAGTGCCGAACCTCTAGCTTGCGGGGGGGTGGGGAGTAGTGCCGTAGTAGGATCCTGTGAGCGGTCATGTGGGACCGAAATATCATGAGCACAATCGTTGCTTTGCACGTAGATATACGTGTCTGTTTGGGAGTTGGGCGGCAGTTTTGGAGTGTTGCTTTGAATGTAGACTAACCACCGATGCAAGGAAAGATTGTAACGTTAGACAATGACGCAGCATTGGATCCTGGGTCCCATTAGGCCTTGTGCCCAAGTCCTTACACTGCTCACCCCTTATTGTCCAGAGCTTCAGTGCCGTAGATCTTGGGGTGTAAGCGTTAAGCTCGCATAAATCAAGCCACTCTACATTGGCGTCTTGGCGGTGTGTATTCGTGCGGTAGCACGCACGCGCAAAGAGATCTCCTACCTTGGCTAACACGTCTTGGCGCGCGAGTGTGACAGAGGAGGCGGACTGCAGCCACTGTTTGTGCGGGAGTGGGTGGCGGGCAGTAATGGACCATCGACGTAGCGCTTATCCTATTGACGAAAAATTTGAATTTAGAAGTCTTGTAGAGTGTTGCTCTGCGCGGCTCAGTGTTGATTGCGCTTCCAGGTGGGCCGCGCTGGCCGAGAACTTGCAGTGGAGTGCCAGTCCATGTCGTTGCATGAT